TAATTTTAGCTTGAATTTAGCTTTTCTTGCAATGCATATAAAATTGCAATTAATTAATTTAATGCCATATTGTTAGTCCTATTGAAGGAAGAATAATTAACAACCAGTGTATTTATCCTCCAGAAAAGGATGCGGAAATAGAATGCACAAGGAAGACAACAGTGTCACCTTGGAATGGGCAACAAAGGAGAAGCCTTGACCTTAAAGGCTTCCAAATGCTGTCAAGTTGCTTTCTTTAAGTTTCACAGACTGGTACAAATAGAAGTCCGAGCATGGAGAATGTTGGCATAGGACCACAAGTAGGAGGCTCTATATAAATGAGTTGACTCTTGGGCATGGGGGAGGGACAGACTAAATGGTGACAATATGGCTATTATAATTCTCACCTCTAGGATGAGGAGCAATCATCAAAATGATCAAAGCAGGGGAAAATGTCAATATGTGTACACTAAAATCTCCAGGTTTAGACACCAACATTTGTGAAAATTCTTAAATATGCCTTATTTATCCTTTCAAAAAACATGAGCTAAAAATGTGTTTTGCTTCTCCCCATTGTCACACTATAATTTAGTACCAGAATAGCAAACCTCCCAGCATATCTAATGAGTTTCTTTGGTCCTCTTTTAAAGCTTTTAATCTTTATAAATAATAGCTAAGTAAACTTAAAGCGCCTGGACAATTTCTTTAGCTTAATGTATTCAAATCCACAGTTGGCACTTCATTTCTTTTCATTTAAAAATAAATTTATCTTGGCTCGATAGGCTCTATATGAATACACACCTAACAATATAAATCAAAGCAACACATCCAGAATGATGAGATCTACTTGCTACCTTTCTAAAAAATATTCCACTTTCAGAATAGTCTCAAAGTCTGTTCTGATTAAGTCAACATATATTCTTTCTTAAAATAATTTACAATTGTATAGTACTTGAATAATGATTTCAAACACAGAAGAGAAATCTGTTTTCCCAAGAGGATTTCCATAAACATATGAGAAATTATGTAATATTGAGGGTTTTTTTTTTTTTCAGAAGTGACACTTCTCTCAACTCTACCTGGTGACTTCATGTACATGGTGACTTCATGTACATGGATTCCTGTGTAGACTTTCATGCCATTTATATTCACGTTTGAATTTGGAAAGAAAACTTGGAAAATATTAATGACAGCAACAACTTTGAATTTCCGTAACTTTAAAAGCATCCTTCTGTAGGTGATGGCCCTTCTGTCCTAGCCAACATCACCACTTCAATCACAAAAGTGAAAACCAAAACATAATAGACATGAAAATCCAATCAAAATGTCTCCTGAGGTAGTGCTAAATTAAACAAGAAACTGTATCAAAATATAATAAGATTCCAAAATTTGCTACTATTATTATGTTAAAAACAAATAAAGACTTACTTGCTTTGTTTTTCCATGCTAGCAACCCTGAGACATTCCCATCTTGAATTGAGAAGATTCATTTGCTCTTGCACTTCAGTTTCTTCATCTTCTGATAATTTCCCCATTCCAATCAGCTGACTTCCCAACTGGAGAACATTACCAACCCGTCCCTGATGGGATGTCAAATCCATCATGTACCCCTAACAAGAAAAGAAGTTGTCAGTCATTAACACTTTAGGCAAATCATTATGGTTGGTGATTAACTCGTAGCCCCTTTAAACTATATTCCCAGGAAAAGCATTCTAATTCTTATTTAAGGAAACTCAATACCATTTTTAATGTGAATTATGGAACATTACGAGCTCAGTGACCTTCTGCAGAAGCCAATGCTGACAGAGGGAATGCAAGAGGAAGTCCTAGAGGAGAACTGCAAGGGAGCCAAAGAATCAGGAAACAGGAAAGGGAACGGGAGGGAGGCAAGTAAGTGTGTCATCTTAGGAAAAGTCTCCCACTGAGGGTAGTTTCGCCTGGACCCAAACAGGTGCTCCAGAGCATAAGCTGTGATTTCAGCATTGCTTTCACCCAAGAGAAGGGAGCTGGGTTTTCAAATTCCTATCAGAGTCACTAGCCAAATCAGATCTCAGCAGTGTCAAGTGATGTTTACCAAATGGAGACTTGAAATGCTGGCTGTTGGAATCACAAGCACATGCACAGTTCATTATTCCCATCTCAAATAAAAACTAAATTGCCAAAATATATGGACATTATAGAGTGACGAAAAAACAGAGACTTGCCGTTATGACAACTCATGTGCTTTATTTCCTAAATCAACATTTTGCTTTACCTCGTGAGTATGAAACTGTTCCTTTACTTCTTCTACATTATTAGAAATCTCTCCCTGGGCCTGCAATGCGTCCTCAGCTGAAAGAAGCCATGACAGTACTTCTTCTAAAGCTGTTTGGTAACTGTCCAGGTTTACTTCAGTCTCCATCAATGAACTGCCAAATGACTTGACTTCAGAAGCTTCTAAATGCTGAACAATAAAATAAATTGGGTGTTATACAAGTAGTATCTTTGCAGAATGCTGTTCCAGTACATTAAATGAGAAATTGAATAAAATATTTTAAATGCTAGGAATGTCCACTTGTATTATTTAAAATGCTAGGAATGTCCACTTGTATTATCAGAGACGTGAATAGTAGACAAACACAATACAAGAGTGAGCATACATTTTAACATCCTCAAAAATAGACACACAAATTCTCAAATGTCAGTCAAAACCCACTACACATTAACATTTGATTAAAGCTCTTTTTGGATTGCTAAAAAGAGTGAATCAGTGCATCACCCCTCCATGTCGTATTGTAATATTATATAGCTATTATAAACTTTCATCCATAAGCAACAGTTCTCTGTTCAGATGTTCAATCCATTACATATATCCTATTTGCATCTTTACATATTTTTGAAGCACATTAAAGGCAGCATTTCTTCCCAAGAGGCCCTAGGTAATATTTCTGAAAATTTACCAACCAGAAAAGTTATCAGCATGAAAATAAATGACGGGAGGGAGGTAATATTTATAAAGAAATACTTCATCTATACATATGAAATCCTAACATTATAATGAATTTTATGGATCAAGCTTTTAATTCAGAAGGCCATGGCTTAAATCGCAAGACAGTATCATAGGAGAAGTAAAATATGATGTATTTGCTATTGAATTTCATTATCAGGATGCTAAATGAGATTCACAACAGTTGTCTTAAAGTCCCTGCTGAGACTTTTTTTAAAAAAAAAAAATATTTATTTATTTATTTATACAAGCACTGGGTAGTGTCAGAAGCACAGGAGGGTGAGAGAATTCACCAGAGCCAGTACAGGGAACAGAACAGGCAGACTGATGAAAAACACTGCTGAGGGGAGCAGTGGGCATGGCAGGAGAGGTCTGCGCGCCATGTGGGACCTTTGGCGGCGGCTGGGGATCGAACCAGCGCTGCAGAAGCTGCCCCTGCAGTGGGCAGCTTCGCAGCCCAGCGATCAACGACTGCACCACCAGCGGAAGCCCCCTGCTGGGACTTTAAACCTAGGAACAATGAGTACGAAGTGTCTATAGAGCCAAAGTGAAGAACCAGGTGACCTATGAAGTAATCACTAAGGTGTAATCACCAAATGGGTCCCAGCACCTTTAATCCACTCACTAGGCCAAAGGTGTGTAAGACAAAGCAAGAAAAGTGATTGGAGTCTGGCGAGCCAGGATTCCTCCAGAATGACTAGAGAGCTATGCATGGCCATACCTTCCCTTCAACTACGATCAAGAAGTGAAGACATGAAGAGAATCAAGTGGACACGATGGGGTAGTTTTCAGGTTGAACTATCAACTTCTAACTCTGGCTGTGTGTTTGTGAGATTCAGAAGCTACGGGACCAGTACTATCAAATAACAGGAGACAGTTCTTCAGATAATCTGTGTCTGCTTCTTTAATTGTAGGGCAATTATCAATGGTAAGAATTTCATCAAATAAGAAAATCTGCATGGATTTTCTTTGAGTCAAGTGTATTCATGGTATACTGTTGGGCATCAAAAGTCCCACAAAGGACCATGCTCAAGCCTGATGGAAGGGTTTCCTGCTGAGGTAAGGGACACAAACAAACTACTGATGTAGTTAAGAGTTAGGGTTAGAGCTGAGCAGAGTAAAAGTATTGGAGAAATATGTGTAGAGGAATTGTCTGTATACTCCAAAGGTAACAAGCTAGCACTAGGCCCTAACACAAAAGTCTTGCAAAGAAACACAAGGCAGTGTAGAACAATCAGAAGCTACTAGGGGAATTACATGATCTTGCCTAAAGAAAACCCAGTCTTTGGATGGCTCCACCCTGGCATGCCCACCTTAAAATCCCAGTCCCCCTCAGTGCTGGGCCTCATCTCCCCGAGCTGTCAGCACCAACTTAATCCCACTCTGATAAATGCTTGAACTGTGACACTTTAATCTTGTAAACTTCCCAACTATCAAATCCTTTAGATTACAAAGTAGAGTGGCAGTCTTTGGTGTGATATTTTCACTAAACTGTTCACCTGTTTCTAGAGAACTAGCAGAAACATGTACTCCAAAATCCAAATCACCCAGCTCCAGGATCTCAAACAGAGCATCAGTGAGAGTTATGCACATGGAAGCGATCCAAGGACAAGGCCACTTTGAAAGATCTTAGGGGTTAGAAAAAGTTCCATGGTGTAACCCTTCTCTACATCCTTAAATAGTATTAATGATGAATAGCAAAGTCAGCATTAAGAGGAAAAAAGTCACAGAAAGGTAACCTAGGAGATGTGTGTAGACGGGGCCAGCTTCATGGTTGTGCAACAAGAGTAGCTGCACAGTGCACAGCAATCAAAGCTTTCTCAAGCTTGTTTTACCTGCTGCTTCACATCACCATCTTAAAATCCTTAATAATTTTACCTTTGAACTTGGGTTTTGTATATGTGCTGCCGAAGCGAGCACTGAACTTGGGTTTTGTTAGTGAAGTCCAAGGGGGTGACAAAATAGGAACATGAGCAAAGGAGTTAAGTAAAATCTGTGTGACTGTCACTATCTGCATATATCCTTCATGTTCCAGGAGCACAGAATGCTGGTGGACATACAATTTAGCATGACTCAAAGCAAGTATGAGGTAAGTGTGCTAAGTCTGTGACTAACTGAGGGCACTAACGGCCATATAAATCATGCTTTTTGATTGAACCAGAAAATGCTTCAAAAGCAGAAAGAAGGTAATAGAAAATACAAACCAAGGCACCCTTGTCTTCATCATATTTCTTTTCTGTCTTAGCCATTTATGCTGAAATTGATGATATAGAAAAAAAAAGGATAAAACAGGGCAACCCAGTCCCTCGGCCTTTCAGTCCTTCCTTACTCATCAGGAAGCTGAAGGTAGAGAGCATGGGCAGTTTCTGCATTCTGGTAAGAATGAAATATATATGCACAAGCTATGAAATAAAAATTGTGTGATACTGGTAATTCTGCATGAGTTAAAATGCTCTTATACTTGCATTTACAACTGCAATTTCACAATATAACAATGAGCAGTAAAACCCATACTATTACTTTAAAATTTTAATTTCATTTATTCAGTATGATTTTATATAGCAAATAAAAAATACCCTGGGCAAGTTGAGCGACACAATGTAATAAAGGGAACAGTTTTATATTTTGATAATTTTAATAGCAACTTCTTTCCTGGCTTTTGCACAACAGGCTCTGTAGTTCATTTTTCACTGGGCCACATAACTTATGTAACCAGCCATGTGTGATAGGTTGGAAAACAAGTGCAATACAATCCTGGATATTTTTCTTTCTCTGCATTACAGATGAAAAAAAAAAAATAGGAGCTTTATTATGTATAAAAGAAGGTGGTCGTAAAGTCCAGATCCAAACGATCTGTGTTTGGATCATAATTCTGACCTTAGGTCATCCTGGGAAGGTTACTGAGCCTTAGTTTCCTCAGGGATAAATGGGAATAATAATAGTAGAAAATATTAAAGGACAGTATATAAAGTTTCTGGCAGGGTGCCTCACCTTGTATAAGAACCCAATAAAGTAATAGCTTAATTAAGTAAGTAGTAATTAGTAGTAATTGTCATTAGATTCTCATATACATAAGATTCATTTGGCTATACAACCTGCCACAAGGTTACCTTTTTAAATCATTATCAAGATTTCAAGAGCCAGACAATTATTACAGAAAAAATGACCCAAAAAAAGTCTAAGAGCAAATATTAACTAGATCAAACATTCCTGAAAGTTGAACTTCTGCCTAAAGTTTATTTTAAATTCTTCAAAAATCATTAGCAACCTTAAGTTCAAATATTCTCCAAATGATAAATTGTAAACAAAAACTATTCAAGCAAGACAACGTTATATTTCTCCATTGAACAATTTGAAAATGATTTACTGATCTTTACAGAGGATTGAATTTTTGGAGAGAATGTTAAAAGCAAATCTTTATACTCAGGGACATGATGTCTAGGACTCATATTTTCATTCTAAATGTTTTATCTGAGGACACTCATAACAGAAACTTTGCAGAGAAAACCTTATTAAATCTAAATTCAAATATGAATAAGCTGTGTAAAATTACCTAAGTAACTCAATTAATCATTATATACATGTATGTACGTTAATTGTCAAAACTATCAGCTGGGTTCTGAGTAATTCTTTCTTTGTGGAGATCGCTGGCTTTGAAATTGTAAATCATGAACATCAGTGATTCAGGAAATCATTTTAGTAGGTCATGACCAGGAATCGTCTATTTAAAATTAAATAGAATAAAAATATCACTCTGCATCACTTATATTAAGGATTGGTATTGTTTTATGAATTTTGTTTCAGATATTGATATACACATTATGTTTATATATAGGTAAAAATGCACATATATTCTGGGTCATAATGAAAAACCATTTTGTAGTTCATAAAATTTGAAATGATTCTAGAATTTCAGCATAGGTAAATACATGAAAGAAGAAATCTGCCTGAATTCTACATTTGCACATTTTCAATAGAACCGTGGGAAGAAAATACATTTTTTATAAGTCCATCTTTAACACAGAATTTGGAAACAGACAACAATATAGAGCGATGTTTATGTTTTTTGGTTTCAGCTTTCCCAAATATATACTCCTAGTAATAGTATGTGCTATTTTACCTAAGCTTGTGGCTAGTTCACATATATTGTGGCATCAAAAGACATTCTCTAGGAAATTCGATCTTTGTTTTTTTAGAAGGAAAGACATATGTATAAGAAAAAGACACCAATCATTTCAGGAATGGAGATGTCAGGATCATCAATTGGAACTAATATTTTTCTCTACATCTTGATCTTATTTTATTTTCTATCTTTATCACAGTAGTTTGTTTCTCTGTAGTACATTGGGCCAACAATGACTCACAAGGGAAGCATAACAATTGATGGGTGAAAAAAGTCTGGTTACTTTCAAAATAAAGAACATTAAAATTTATTGAACATTACCCACATACTTCAGAGGCTTAATTACTGCCTTTTGTGTGAAGACTTACTAGAAACTGTCGCCTATTTTCCTTGAAGATGTTGCTATCACATAAGGGGGGAAGTGCAGAGAGAGGGAAAGTAATGAGAGAAGACAAATGAGTGTATTTGTTAGTCCTGCAAAGTCCTGGACAAACGTTTGGAAACTCATTTCTGGTGATAGAAATCGTAATAAAATATAGAGAGGTAACTTTGACACTACTTCATACATAAATATTTTTTAAACCCAGTTTACTGTTTATCTGATGTTGGATGAGGTATTTGACCTCTCTGTATCTCAGTTTTCCCAGGTGTAAAACAAGGAAAATAAAAAATATATATCCACAGGATTGTTGAAAAGATTATATGAGATGATGCATATAAAATGCTAAGCACATTCTAGTTTCCAAGAAATGCTCTGCAATGCCTGTATTTGGGGACCAATGTTCACTGAAATGGCAAATGATTTTTATGAGGAAACACAGTTGAATGAGCTGTGTGTATTTTTAGAAGCATGATTCTGGCAATTCAAACTGAGATAAGTCATCAAATGGCTACATATAGGTAGTGAAACCAGCAATCCAGCAAACCCACAAAGCTCTTAGAAAAATAGCTGGGACGTTTCCAGAGGGCATAATCTATCACTGAGCACTTTTATATTTCTGTTGAAACTGATCTATTTTGGCATCATTCCCAATTCAACCTTAAAATGTGATGAGTTTTAACCTGGATGAAAAGTAGTCTTATTGTTCTTGAGTGTATAAATGATTCAAGAATATTTGAACATTTTATCACTTACTTCCTTAAATGCATCACACTTCTTTAATAAAAATTCTAAGCCAATAGATGGATGGTGAATTTTTTGGTCTATTCTATAATCTTTTTACCCTTCAGTGAAAGATTATTTAAGAGCTAGAGGATTACAAAGGCATCACCAAATGCTTCTTTTCCTAAATACAGAGGAATAGTTCAGAGGAGCCAGGATTAGTATCTGGAAATATTCTTGCTGCATTTCCACTGTGTTTACTCAGAGATATAACATGCAAACAAGGGTATTATTTAAAGTATGAAAAATAATTACAGAAGTGACTTATGAGAAATTAATTTATCTTGCAACACCACACATGACATTCAATCTAATGGTACCATTAAACAGGTAATTTTTAATATTGCTAGTACCTGGAATTTGGTTCAAAGTTAAGCATTAATGAGGATTTAAGAAAAATTATGGCCTGCTGTTATGTAAAAATTAAAATACAATCACAACAACCACATCTGTAATAGCAATAACAACAGTCACCATTATTTATGGACACTTAGTGTCAGTCAATTTGCTAAGCACCTGACATGCATTATGTCATTTTTCACCCAACAGGTCAGGATGTCAGATAATAGTAGGATGTGGAAATGAAAGCAGAAACCTAAGTAACTTGCCAAAGGTCACAAAGGTAATTGGCTGTTCCAGGATTTAAAAGCAAGCTGTTTGGATTCCAAAACACAAATCTGTACCACAATTTCATAAAGTCTATTAATAAAAAAATTGATTTGAATCTATAAAATAGTGCCCTCACAAAATATCCCACTATAACTTCTTAAAAACAAAATAAAAATTTCTATGAAATTATTTGTAATTTTATGTGATGATGGATGTTAACTAGTCCTCTTGTGGTGATCATTTCATTATACATATGTATGTGTGTATATATATAGATGGGGGACAGGTATAGATATAGAAATATCAAATCATTATTTTATATATCTCAAACTAATATATCAGTTAAATAGCAATAAAAATAAATAGGTAACTAGGGGAAGTTACATTAAAAGTTCATTTAAAAAAAGTTACTGAACTAACATCCTAACTCAAATATCCTTAGTCTTCTAGAAAGGATTTCCATTTGCATAGCAAAAAGTTGTTCTATGCCAAGTATGTAAGATAGGTCCACTTAAGGGAAGTTAAAAAGAAAGGCTGATAAAATGATGAAAGCTGTTCCCATTCAGATTACCAATTATTTTTTTTCTTTCCTCGATATCCATAAATTCAGGTTTAATGGTTCTGAAAGCACTAAGAAGTTGAACCTTGGGAGTCAGAAGTCAAATTAATGTTTGACTTAATTAATGTTGGGGAGTCATAAGTCAAATTAATATGTGTAAGACACTAACACTGACATCACACTGCAGAAATGGAGAACAGAAAGGCATTCATGTGAGATAGCCCAGATGGTGCTGCAGACTCTCTTTTAGATTACGAAGGAAGCTGAGCAACAAATAAAGCTAACATCAATATTTTCTAAAGGAAGGTATGTGACCAGTCTCTTATATGAACTCTATACCTTCTATAATTCCTATTAGTGTTTGATTTTTTTCATGTCTCGTAGAAAGGCTCTATTGTGCTTAGTGTGCTCTATTTGAGGAAACAAAAAAGATCTTATCTGTCACATGTGTATTTACTTTTTAAAAACCTCATCTAAAAACCTATAAAATGAAATGCTCCAAAATCAGAAGTGTTAATCTTGACACTCAGAAAGAAACTGGTCACTACAAATACTGCTAGCCTCCGCCTCCACCTCATATACAATAGTAGAAAGTTTAGGTGACTGTTTGGCTATCCAGAATAAAAGCTACAATACCCAGAGTCCTTTGCATTTAAGTGTGGCATGTGACCAATTATATGTCAAAGGGATAGGATGTGTGTGAATTCTTTCTTTCGGACCTAAGAGGTTATTTATTTATTGTCAAATAAACATTAACAAATTTTAAAAACTGACACTTAGAAAAAGAAAAAAAAAACTACCAAGGAGGGATAGGTATGCTCTCCTCTTTGTCACTTCCTCCTTCCCACAGGTAGGAATATGAAGGTGGTGGTTATATATCCTTGATCATGGGGATGAAAAAAGCATCCAAGGGCATGCCAAAGCTACCAGGGAGGGCAAAACAACCATGGTCCCTGAATAAGCAAAGAACTCTCCCACAAAGCCTGGACCACACACATTCAGTGAGAAATAAATGTCTTTCTTAGATAATTTATCATTAAGTTGTGTCCTCATTACTTTCACAAATCCTACAGCCTACTTAATACACTAGCATGATCTAAACTGCTAGGAGCTGAGACCATTGTAAAGATATATGCATTTGTAAGAGTTAATATCTGCCTGTCTGAAAATATACCCCCTCTCTCTAAAACATGCTCTCAAAGAAGGTTCCAGCTCATTTAGCTTCATTATTTTTCAAGTCTTATACCTTTATTTTTCCAGCTTTATCAATATATAATTGACATAAAACCTTGTGTAAGCTAAACATGTGCAACTTATTGATTTAAGACATTAATATATAGCAAAATGAGCACTACTATAGTTTTAGCTAATACCTCTATCATGTCATGTGATTGCCATTTCTTTTTTAAGTTCTTTTAAGAACTACTCAATTAGCAACACTCAGATATATATCACATTATATACCTTCACATTTTCCAGTCTTTAAAGGTAGCAACATTGACCCATGAATAATGCAAAAACTGACTTTAAATATATACTGAATTAAATTGTTTGGGGTAATTTTAATTTATCATTAAAACTAATTTCTCCTTCCAATTTATGGTCTCATATGAAATATGGTGTCATCAAAGATCTTATGCTGAAATAAGTATTGTGGCACAAAATATTCATAATTTAAATTATGCACGTCTTCCCAAATTCCCTTGGATAATTTGTCTGTGCATATATGTTTATTGTTTATTTACTTCTCTTTCCCCAATTTGTGTAAAACTATTCTTTCATATAATTAGGCATTCAATTACTTTCCAGGTTATGCTGCTCTTTAGTTCTTTTATTTCCTCGTTCTTTGGCCTCTTCCTGAGAAATTCTGTCTTGACTATCATTTATAAAATATAAAAGAAAAAAATCCATGACAAATTTTCCCAAACCAATAGAAATTTAGAAAAAATAGTTTGTATAAAGAAAAACTACTTAACATAAAAGATCTTTTCCTTCTAAAAATTTATAGTTTGGGCTTCCCCGTTGGTGCAGCGGTTGAGCGCTGGGTTGTGAAGCTGCCTACAGCCTCTGCAGCGCCGGTTCGAACCCCGGCAGCTCCCTGGCCACTGGAGGAGGGTCCCACATGGCGTGCAGACCTCTCCTGCCGCCCGCTGCTCCCCTCAGCAGTGTACTTCGGTCCTTCTGCCTGCTCTGCTCCCCGCTCTGGCTCTGGTGAATTCTCTCACCCTCCCGTGCTTCTGACTGTACCCCAGTGCTTGTATAAATAAATAAATATTTTAAAAAATAATATAAAAATAAAAATTTACAGTTTGTAATAGTTGTTGATAAATATCAATAAAGTATGTAAAACAATTTTCTCATAAATTCATTGGCTAATATATGACGGGTGTTCATTTGAGTGATTTCTGTGATTCACATACTTTAGCTCATATAATTGTCAGAACCTCTCTAAAAGTGTGCCCATTTTCCAGATGGGAAATTGAGGTTATACCTATGAGGCACAGCAGGATAAACTAAACTTCCCAGAAAACCTATATGCTTTCTTGTTACTCTGAAGGACTGAAGAAATATTATGAGAGCCATAGATTCTAGAGAAGAAAGATGAACAGAATAATTCTGTAATGTTTTCGGTATGTTTCAATAATTTTAGGAGTAATTATTTGGTAAGAATTCATACAAATTAGGAATTAACAGTCACAAGTTCTCTAAATTTGACTTTAAAATAAGACAATAACAAAATGTCTACGAAGAACATATTTATTTCTAATAACATTTTCCTGACCACTTGGTGTAACAATTGCATATACTTTAACATAAGCCAAACATAAATATACTAAGTCTTACTTATTTTAATCAGTCTTTCATAAATACTAAAACAAATATGACTTTGTAGATGATACTTTTAAATGAAAAAGAATTCATAAGGTATTGATTTTGGCAATTTTTTTTTTTTACTTACTGAAATTCACATATACATATATATTTAGGAGCTCAGTATTATCTGAATTCAGATATCCTTCCACTTATATAATACCCCCCCCCAAATGATCTTAATCTCCAGAGTTTGCTATAACACATACAAACACTCAACAGTGAGCTATACCGGACAACAGATTAGGTACTTCGAATGGACATTTAAAAATTCTTGTTTTCTCTCACAAATCATCACTTACAGTGTTCTTAGCTATTTATTCTACAAGGCTATTTATCTACAACGCTTAGCTATTTATTCTAAACTTGCAGTTATCTCATTAGACTGCCCTCAATATGCTACATGGGCACTAATCCTAGCCTCCTCATTTCATAGTTCAATTCTTCCCATTGTATAATCCAAGAGCTCTTAAACTCTAAAACTGCCTGTAAAGAGCCAGAGAGTGTCTTTAGTATGGAAGACCATTGCAGGCCAGTCACACCTTCTCAGATCTGCCATTGTAGATTGCTGCACAAAAGCAGCTGTAACATAGGAGAACAGCATGAATGAGTTCCAATAAAACCACCACCAACAACAAAAAAGGCGGCAACAGACTGACATTCAGGCTACAGTTTGCCAGTCTCTGGACAACTCATTCCCTTCCCATATTAATTTCATTCCTTTCACAGACTCAAGAACTCCCCACTGCATTCATCTCTTCTCTCCCCAGGCTGCCTCCAGTAGGTCACTTTTCCAGTTTACCATGTGTCCCAACTAGCCTCTTCCCCTGCGGCCCCACTGGCATCTCTATAAATAACAGTATCTTAAAGGCACAGTGGTGTGCAGATCACCCCTGGGGAGCTGCAAGTTTGTCTCTTTGTGGAGTAAGATGAACCTGAGTTCAAATTCCAGCAGTTATGGAATTTATCAGCAGTGTGTGCTTGACAAAGTTACGAATTTCAGACGTCAAATAAACACCAGAAAGTGGATATGACAGTAACTTAGAGAGTGCTTGTAAGATTCTCATATACACAGAATTATTATTAATATTCAGCATCACCACATCACATTCAATTAGTATAAAATCATTTCCACTGCTCACTGTTCTTATTTAGTGCCATGTGGAATACAGAAGAACGAACATCAACAAAGGGACTGGGGTTATATTTAGAGTCCAGATTAAAAAAAAAAAAGATTCAAAAAATTAGCACACTTTTGTTGAGCCAGTACCCTTCCCCCTCACTGCCTTCAGGCACATGGGCTGCTTAGGATTATAACATCAACTTTCACATATACCACGAGACTCTGGGTTTCCTCTTTTATTTTTCTAACGTGTGTGATTCCTTTCCCTGTTTCTAATAGGGTGGTGTAGTATATCCTTCACTAAAACAGTTACAGCAGAATAAAATTAAGCTCCATGAATACAGAGTTTTATTGTGTTCACTATACAGTGTCTGACCCATTGGAGAATACAGTATTTGTGGAATCAAATAGTGAATTTCCAGTACATGCCAGGGAACGA